AAACTATACAAACCTCAATTAATGAACGAATGCAAAACATCGAAAGATCCTTTAATAATGCAAACACAAACATCTAACACCATAACAGAAAATGAGATTATTTTCACTAAAAATAACCATACGCAAGACACAGATAATGATTACATTACACCATTACCACCCTCCTACAATATTCAAACTGAAATTTCCACAACCCTCAATAATCCTGATAATCTAACATCAAATTCAAAATATACGGAAGATGCTGACACAAACAACTTCTTATCAAAAATCTTTACAATATCTGACTTAAACAATCAAATCATAATCAATGCACCAACTTTTAACAACATTGGCTCAAAAACACCAAACTCTTGGAGAATAAGCACTCTCAATGTTCGGGGATTAAACTCTCCAGGAAAGGCAGACAATATACTACAATTCTTCAATTATCATCAAATAGACATATTGTATCTTACAGAAACTAAGCTCAAAAAACAAACAGCACTATTTTCCTTCCCTAAATCTGATCAATATCAACATATTTTTATCACCAATGATCAACATCAATTCAAATCCAGAATCAGTTTTCTCATTAAACAAGAATGGACTAAACATATTCAAAAAGTTCACATTATTGAAGGTAGACTTATCTACATATTACTAGCATTCTCAGAAAACATAATAATTCATATTATTGACTGTTACTTCCCAGCATTCTTGCTTTCCAATAACAATTAAATCAAAAAAAAAATGTGCCAAAAAATCAATACCACACTACCACTATCTGACTATTGCATTGTGCTTAGTGATTTCAATGAACATTTCTTCGATCCTCCAAAAAATGAAATTACAGATCTGCTCACTTTCAAGGAACTCTGCGAAGCTGTCCACACCATCCATCCACAAAAAAATGATCCCACCTGGAAACGACAAAATTCTGATCGATGATTGGACATGATTTGGATATTACCAAGATTAGCAGTTTCACTCATACATTCAACAATATTTGATTCTCATTGGATTATCACTGATCATCTGTCAGTTCTTTGTGATTTGACAACAACATCAATAACACAACAAACATCCAAGCACATACTTAAAAAATGGAAAGTCAAACAATTTTTCCTGGTAACTCAAAATGTACCAGATAACACATGACAAGGATATCATGATCACATAGAAGAACTGAGCAATGAACAACTTACTTTCAATACTGAAGACATCAATGCACTATGGTTTTACATCAAACATATTATCTTAGAGACAGCGAATAAGTTTCTAAAAAAAACAAATGAATCAAAAATGTCAACAACCAAAACAATTCACAAATATCAATAAACAAATAAAACTGATTATTCAGGTTATCTCAGCAATTGGTCAGCTATCCAGTCCAGTTTCAGACATTATAATCAAATTAATAAATCTTGCTTTAAACAAAATCAACAAATATAATCCTTCTTTTTCTATCTCAGACATCAACTGGAATTCACAAAGATCAATATTATTATTACTATTTAATCTTAAGCAATTTAAAGTCCAGCTCAGAACAAAAAAACATTACTAGCAAAACAATATAAAACTTTTTAGATTAATACAACTATTCAAAACAATATCAAAAGATTTGGCAATCAATACTCCTTAATGCTCTCTAACATTCTGGAAAAGTCACCAAGCAAAATAATTATTGACAAAGTAATTACCTCCAATGGTCTTTCAGACCATCCAGTAATTATCAAAGACACAGTCAAACAACACTTTGCCAATTGGACGCGAAAACGCATTATCTCATCATGACCAGATCCACAATGGCAAGCAGAATATACCCCACTTCACCAAGTTCCTAATGACGCATTCGCTTCTGTCTCTAATCCAATCACAATGAAAGAATTCACTGCTATGATACTAAATACCAATACTTACAAAGCACCAGGTCCATCAGAAATTCAACATATTTTAATAAAAAAAGCCTCATCCCTGTAAAAAAAAAAATAAAAACAAAAATCAGGAAAAAATCCAGTTTTTTAGTTCCGGAAAATCACGGGTTTTGTTAACAAAT